AAGCGGCCACTGCACTCCAGTCTGGGCGACAGTGAGACTCCAACTCAAAAAAAAAAAGGTGTTAGCTCATAAAAGTAAAAACTAGAGACAATTTAGATAGCCAACAAATGAGGAATAGACTAATATAGTTCAGCTATCATTTAAACCCAGGACAAATACAACTATCTTGAGCAACACTGAATTTTTACCACAAGCACAGTACTAAGCACACAGTTGAAATTCTAATATTTGATGAAAGAATAAATCCATTTAATGAATGATTATAGTTATTTTTAAAGATATTTAAGAAGAATTTATAGTGATCCAGGAAAATACCAAGAAAATATTAAGTGGAGAAAAAAGCAAAATAAATTAAAATAATAGTATTACCCAATTATGTAATATGTACATATTTATATGCACAGAAATAAAAAAAATAGGAGGAAATACATAAAAATGCTAATGGGGTAGTAAATTACAGGGGATTTTAATTTTCATCCTTAAATTTTTCTCTGTCTTCAGCGAAAAGAAAGTTTCACTGTGTGTTGTTTTTGTTTTTGTTTTTTGAGTTGGAGTCTCACTCCGTCCGTCTCCCTGGCTAGAGTGCAGTGGCATGCTCGGGGTCACCCCAACATCGACTTGCTGGGCTAGGGTGATCCTTCTGCATCAGACTTCCAAGTAGCCGGAACTACAGGCATGCGCTACTATGCCCGGCTAATTTTTTCATTTACTGTAGAGACGAGATCTCCTCAGGTTGCCTAGGCTGTTCTTCGAATCTGTGGACTCAGGCAATTCCCTCACCTTGGCCTCCCAAAGTGCTGGGATTACAGGCTTGAGCCACCGTGTCCGGCCTCACTGGGTTTTTTAAAGTGCATACACACACTCCAATTTACCAGGCCTTTTCTATTCCCTTCCATTATTTTAGATCTTTTAAATTTTATTCTTCATCTGTAATTCTACAAGTCTTTCAGCAATTGCTGGTCAGAATAGATGATATACGTTCCAAAGCTAATTTAAAACTGTTTGGCCTACTCACAGAATGGGCCCTTAGAATAACATCTCTAGGTTAGTGTGACTTTAAATTGAAAGTAGACGTTTGAAAGTAGATTTAAATATTTTAAACCCCACAGGATTAGATTTACACTCTGCAGGACTTAAGGGAATATGATACAACTGGATCTTAAGTCTGAATAAACCTCAACAGTACTTTTTCAGCCTGGGGCCTCCTTATGCTGATCGGTTGGAATAGGGCATTACAGAAGACAGTGCTCATCAATACTGGTGCTATGAGGACACCAGGAAAATTAGAAGCAGTCTTTAGGGGGGCCCCCTTCCTACCCACATTTCTCAGGTGTACCAGGCACTGCCCTTGATTTGCATCTAATTAAATTGTACATGTCCTAGTCTAATCACTCCAATGTAAGAAAAAGCATTATCCTGCAAGCTCGCTCCGGCTATCTTCCCTGTGCCGGGGCTGCCCGGGGGAAGCGTGAATCGTGCGCCCCAGGGAGCTGGTTCTTCCACAAAGCGCCCTTCCCAATGCTTCTCCAAGTTCTTCACCCCCACTCATACCTCCTCCCCAAAAGCTCTGAAGACCCTATGTCTCTCTATCGGGACTCCATTAGCCCCAAATTTCGGCCTCAACACGTTCCTTTTAGTACTCAACCCTCCACCCCCCCCGCCCCCAGACCCATATCCCCTCCTCAAGTCTCGGCCCTCCCCAGGCCCCCCCTGTGGCAGCCACTCCCCGCAACACCTTCTTCATTCCTCCCCGCCCCCAGCCTCCACGCCCATCCCAGTCCCACTTCCCCATTCCCGGACTGCCAGGACTCGGAGACGTCCCGGGAGGGAAAAGCGGCGGCTGGGAGGAGTCCCGGGAGGAGTCCCCGGAGGCGTCCCGCCGCCGGCACCAGCCGGGACTCCGTCACCGCACAGACCCGGGCGTACTCAGTGCCGCGGACGGCGAGGGTGTCGGGGTCCTCTCACCCACTCACCTGCAGCTGCGGCGCTCCACGTCTTCGGGGGCGGGCCCGAGAGCCGGCGACACCAGGAGGTTGGGCGAGCGGTAGCTCGGTGCGGGGGCGGGTCGTGCCTGCGGGGCGGGCGCCGCGGTGCGCTGGGCGTGGCCGGGCCTAGAAGCAGTAACGCGCATGCGGGGGCGGGGCCGCGGCGGGCTGTCACTCCGAGTGGGGGCGGAACCCTACAGGAGGGACGGGCCTCCCTAAGCAGTCACTCCAGAGGGGGGCGGGACCACAGCGGAAGGGGCGCGGCGTCGCTGGGCTGCCGCACTGGGCGGGGACCGAGACCGGTAAGGAGAAACAAAGGGCAAGCCAAACTGGGTTGTCACCTGTAACGCGAGCCCAGGAAGGGGGAGGGGAGAGGACTGCGGGATCAAAATGAATCGGGACCGGGGCGGGAGAAGCAGGGCCAGAAAAGGGAGAGGCAGGCCTGGTTGAGCTGTCACTCCAAGCGTGGGTGGCACCAGCTGAGCTTTCCACCGAGACGGGCTCAAGCCAAGGAGAGGAGTACGCCCCTTTACATTTCCCTCTTTTCCATCCTTTAAAGACCAGAATCCAGTTTTCTGGTCACTTTCAGTTATAAGAACACAAGTCTTATTTTAATTATAGGTCATTTTCAAATGATGAAAAGCCCAAGGCTTATTTATGACCAAAATCTCACATCCAACTAAGGCCAAATCCCTACAAGTGGCCATAGGGTTTCCCAGCATCCCCTCCCCTAACTCTCAGAAAACATCTTTTACTTGCTCCTCTCCAGCCACACTGGTCCCCTTGCTTTTCCTAGAACTTACCGACACCATGCCACATCAGGGTCTTTACCCTAGGTGTTCCCTGTGCCTAGAAAGCTATTCTTCCAGGCAGCTGCTTGGTTCAATTTCTCTTCTCCCTCAAGTCTTTGCTCCATTCTCACCTTCTCCCTGAGGCCCGTCCTCCCCTCTTCCTTCCTGTCTTCCTGCCTTCCTGCCTTCTTTCCTTCTTTCTTTCTTTCAATAGCTTTAGGGGTACAGACTGTTTTTGGTTTCATGGATGTATTGTATAGTGGTGAGGAATGAGCTTTAAGTGTACCCATCACCCCCTCTAATGCACACTGTACAAGATGGGTGACTTTTCATTCCTTCCTCCCATCCTACCGTCCCGCCCTTTGCGTCCCCAATGTCCATTATACTATTCTGTATGACTTTGCAGCCCCTTAGCTTAGCTCACACTTACAAGTGAGAACATGTGGTATTTGGTTTTCCATTCCTGTGTTACTTTGCTTAGGATAATGGTCTTCAATTCCATCCAAGTTGTTGCAAAAGATATTATTTCATTTTTTTTTTATGGCTGAATAGTATTCCGTGCTCTATGTGTGTAATATTTATATATACATATATATGTATATATTCACATTTTCTTTATCCACTGATCAGTTGATGGGCATTTAGATTGATTCCATGTCTTTGTGAATTGTGCTGTGCTAAACATACGAGTGCAGTTATCTTTTTTGTATAAAGACCTCTTTTCCTCTGGATAGATACCAAGAACTAGGATTGCTGAATCTAATGGTAGATCCGCTTTTAGTTCTTTGAGAAATCTCCATACTAATTTCCATAGAGGTTTACTAATTTACATTCCTACCAACATGTCTAAGTGTTCCCTTTTTATTACATACATGTTAACATCTTTTTTTTTTTTTTTTTTTTTGAGTTGGAGTCTCACTCTGTTGCCCAGGCTGGAGTGCAATGGTACGCTCAACTACCACCGCAGCCTCTACCTACTAGGCTCAGGCGATCCTTCCACCTCAGCCTTTCAAGTAGCTAGAACTATAGGCATGTGCCACCATGTCTGGCTAATTTTTGATTCATTGTAGAGATAAGGTTTCACTAAGTTGCCCAGGCTGGTCTCGAACCTATGGACTCAGGCAATCCACTCACCTTGGCCTCCCAAAATGCTGGGATTACAGGCTGAGCCACCGAGCCCGGCCATTTTTTTTTTTTTTTTTTTTTACAATGGCCATTCTGACTGAGGAAAGGTGGTACCTCACTGTGATTTTGATCTCACTTCTGAGCCCTTTCTAAGCATCCTATTAAGGCCTGTTCTCCCTGCCCATAATTTCCTTACCTGTTCTCCTATTTCTTCTTCCTACAGCACTCATTGCCTTATAATGTCTTATATTATTCTGTTTATCATCAGTCTCTCTTCCTAGAATGTAAGTTTCACAAGGGCAGGGATTTTTGTCAGTTTTGTCTACTGATATACAGTAGTTCCCCCCTATGAGCAGTTTGGCTTTGGGTGGTTTTAGTTACTCAGAGACTCTCTGGTTGAAAAGTAGGTGAGGCTTGAATGATAAAATATTTTGAGAGAGAGAGAGAACACATTCACCATTTATTGCAGTATAGTATTATAATTGTCCTATTTTATTAACTATTGTTGTTAATTCTTTACTGTGCCTAATTTATAAATTAAACTTTACCATAGGTATGTATGTATAGGGAAAAAATAATGTACATAAGGTTCATAATATCCTCAGTTTCAAGCATCCTTGGGGATCTTGGAACGTATTCCCTGCAGATAATGGAGGATTACTGTGTCCCTAGGATAACTGTGTCCCCATTGCTTAGAGCAGCATTGGATCCATAGTAGACAAGCAATAATTCCAGAATGAAACTCTGGAATGAAAAAAAAGATGAATGACCCTCTTCTGCCTCTGTACATCCAGCTGTGGCCAGACCAATGCCTCGAAGACCTGTAGCAGGAGAAAACTAATCAGCTCTTCCATTCCCTACCCCTTCTCTGGGTCTTATAGATTTTAGACAGAAAGCAGGGAGGCTAGGAAAAAGAGGCAGAAATTGAATTACTTGGGAGGAGCTGCCTTTCGTTCTTTCTAGACCCTTTGTGCTGTCATGGCAGTTCACAACATGTGGCTATCCCTTATGTGGCTATCCCTCAGTGGGTCCTGCGTGAGTATGTCCAAGGGTTTGCTCTCTGTCTTCAGAAAATCAAGGCAAATCGTTTATAAATTTCAGTAGATTTAGACACTAATTACTCATTGAGCTTTTGTTTCTAAATTGCACTTGTCCTATCTTCTCACCCCTTGGACATATGGCTGTCTTCCATATCATTTCACTTTCTGGCTGGAAGAATTAGTAAAAGAATTTGAGTGGAAATATTAAAAGTCCCTTTCTCTTGGGCAATCTTATGTAATCTCCACAATAAATAAATTAGAACTTTCTGTTAAGTACAACAGATCCACTGGACAACACAAATAGTAGACCAGAGTTTATGATATAGATCCCTATACAATAGTCCCCCTTATCCGTAAGGGATACATTTCAATAACCCAAGTGGATGCCTGAAAGTATGAGTAGTATTGAACCCTGTAATTATTATGGTTTTTCCATCTGATAACCTAGAAGGCTACTGAGTGACTAATAGGTAGGGAGAGCCTATAGCATGGCTACACTTGACAAGGGGATAATTCACGTCCCAGGCAGGACAGAGGGGGACAGTGCAAGATTTCATCACTACTCAGAACAGCACACAATTTAAAACTTGTGAATTGTTTATTTCTGGAGTTTTCAATTTAATATTTTTGGACTGTGGTTGAGTGCAGGTAACTGAAACCATGGAAAGTGAAACTGCGCATAAGGGGGACTACTGTATCAATTATCTGTGCAACAAACCACTGCAGAATTGGGGATTCCTTTCTTTACCTCTCTCCTTTTGGGAATTTCCTCCATGCTCTCTCTGGCTCCCAGGAGCCCTTTACCAGTTCCTTTGTATAGAAGGACAGGTGTTCTCTCAGGGTCTTAGGTGTTTTGTCATTGTACCACCCTGGCTGGGGCTGGTCTCAGAGCAAGGGAGTGAGAGAAGAAAGCAATCAGGAATTTCCAGTCTTTCTCTAACTTGCAGCAGCCTTTCTTGCTAGTCCTGTGGGCAGGCTTCTCTAGGACATTTTGCTGATAGTGTCTGGTTGAAAGTTCCCAATTTGTTCTGTCCTCAGATCAAGGTAGAGGGAAAAAACAAAAGCAAAACAGGAATTTCACCACTCCAATATTGGTCTGTCTTCAAGTTTTTAGTTCACTGCCCAATCCCCTGCCATTATTTACTTTTCAGAGTTCTTGGGTAGTTGTTTTTTTAACATTTTTCCCAGAGATTTTAGTGGTACTACTGGACTTACTGTGTTTTGGCCAGAAATGGAACTCATCAGTCTGATCAATGAAAAAAATGTTTTGATATGCATTTCTCTTATTACAAGTGAAATTGAGCTCAGCTTTTTAAAAAATCCATATTTCATTTTCTGTGAATTATCTATTTATATACTTTGTCTAATTTTCTACTAAATATAGAAACTCTTTTTATGACAGTAAGAGTAGTCCTTTTTCTTAGCTATAAATGTCAAAACTTTTTCTTCATTGTTGTGTCTTGACTTCTCTTATGCCATTCTGTTTGTCTGATTGTTTGCTTTTGTTTTTGTTTCTTGGCCATGCAAACTTTTTCCATTTCTAACCAGTCAATTTTATCAAGCTTTTCTTTTACTACCTACCACTTCTGGGTAGTATCATACTTAGAAAGGCCTTCACCTCTCTTTGGGTACTTTGAAGATTCTTCCATGGTTTCTTCCTGATGTTTCATGATTTTAATTTTTTTTTCTTTTAAAATTTGACCCATCAGGAATTTCTTTTGATATGAGGTAAGTAGAATGTAGCCAACTTTATTTTATGTCTTGATAGCCATTTTCCCAATTTCATTTAATTAATAGTCCATCTTTCTCCTGCTGATTTTAAATGCCACCATTATCATATATTCCATTTCCTTCTGTATTTATATACTTTCTCTTTTGTTCTATTAATCTGTTGATGTGTCTGTGTACTGGAGTCATAAGATTTTAATATTTGAATCTTTATAAGACATTATTCTGTTTCTTTAACCTCTCCAATAAAGTTAGAAAAATCCAACCCACTTGACAGTTCTTGTATGCCTCATTCCCATCATAACTACCTATTGTAGCAACTGCTGAAGACTTGCCTTCGGTAAACTGTTTTTTTCAGGTGACCACAATTAGCTTTTTCCACAGCAGACCTAGTGTCATAATATCCCATTTTCCACCAGTGGCAAGGCCGTGATTATCTTCAGACCTAGCCAGGT